CCCCCCCCCCAGCGCCCATACGTTGTATCTGACAGCATGAAACATGTTGTACGTATAACATGTTCTAATAGTGATTGACTCTAGAAACGGCAAAAATATAGTGAAATCAAGTATAAGCAAATCATGAACAAAACCGCTACTTTCTCAAAATGCACAGGGCTAGCTTATTTTTGAGTAACAAACAATACGTGAAACCGTACACTCTCCCCCGATCAGTGGCTGGGACGCCGCAACACTCATTCTCGAAAGATCCACGGTGAGAAGCAAGCGGCATGGCAAAAGGTCCTCGGAAGGAAACGCGGAGCGAACACCAACGCTTCCTAACAGGGCTACAAGGAAGGAGCGTGGAGGAGAGAGAGAGCGCTTACAGAAGGAGCACAAGGATTTTTTAGCTGGGGAGCGCGACCAAGACGTCAGTTTTGATAGGGAGCTGGCACCGACGTTGCCGACACGACGGCCAGCGCTACATCGACCCCCTCCTCTCGGGAAAGACTTTGTCTACCTACAGGCTCAAAAGTGATTGATTCCTCAACAGCACCGCGCTGTAGCTGCCAAGACGGTGGCTGTATCCGGAAGGAAAGCTCCAGTGGCCCGCAAGACCAAGGAACAAGATGAGGATTACGTGCCCGATGAAGAGGAAGATTTGACTCCCCCTCGGAAAAAGCAGAAAGGTGCCAGAAGCACCGAGGCCAAGAAGAAGGTGGTAAAGAAAACAGCCGTCGCTAAAACGAAGAAGACCGCAGCTGGTACCAAGAAAGCCGCTCCTAAGAAACCGCGTAACTCAACTAATGCCAAAGCCAAAGAGAAAGAAGCAAAGACAGCGGCAGCCGTCAAACGATGCCTCGCCTCAGCAGCAGCTGAAGTCGAGGGTGCTGCAGCACACAAGGCAGCGCGAGAACGATTGAATAACCAGGCGAGCAAATCGACCGACGCTGCCAACACGACGGATGATATCGCGAGTGCTTTGACGGCGCGGATGGCGACGACACACCAGTCAGAGTCAGTCGACTAACAAGCTGAAGCGTCAGACCAGCCGGAGGTTGGAACGGATCCGCCATCTCCGAGGTACGATGTACACCTGCTGTTCGATACAACGTGTTTTAACATAAGATGCTGTATGTGATGCAGTCCTGTACTACATGATCAATCTCCAACATCTCAGGAGCAGGATTATACAACCTTTCAACGTGACACCAGGTACAACATGTACAACTTGAAGAATATACAACATGATATACTAACCAGTTATTTTGATTGTTGTATGCTATTTTTAATTTGTTTGTAGCACTGAAGACTTACTGGAAATCAGAGAACCTTCGGACGAGCGAGCTCAACCAAACGCGCCAGTAGCGGAATTACCGGAGGACGAATCCATATCGACGGGCACTACTGGGTCTGGTTTTCTGGATTCAGATTGCGAGGACACTGAGGCCGAGATCTGCTTCTTAGACGACGATGATGAGTTGGAACGCGCAAGAAGTGAGACGACAAGTGTGAACACGGCTGATGAATCAAGCTTCCTCAGTGACGGCGAAGCAGAATCTAACCATGACGATGACGCCGATTCGAATGATCAAGATTGTGCGGAGTCGCTCGCTGATTCACACTCCACGCGCGTGAAATGTGTTACCGAAGCACGAAATGGTTCATTTCGCGAAGGATCTCAACAATATGGCCGAAATGCGAGCAAGTGGGTGGACACTAAGTACGTATTGTTCGTTTTCAGTTGAGGTTGTCCTAAACAACATATTATAATCCAAGTTGTGTTGTAACATACAACATAAAGATGCTGCGAAGTTTCCACCAGACGAACGCTATCCGAATTTGTATTCAGGTCCATATGGTCCCACAGAAGAAGTCATAGCGTTAGCTGATTCACGGTTGAAGCTATTCCTTTTTCTTCATGCCGAAGGGCTTTTGGAAAAAGGTGGCGACGGAATCGCACCGGTACTTCCTACAGAATTTGACTACAAGGGTGGATCGAATGTTTGACAAGCAGAAGACGTCGAATAAGAAGTCGAAGGAGGAGTTTATGGACAAAGTGTCGAAGAAACCAGAAATAAAACCTTATGAAATCTTACACGTGCTAGGACTACTGTTGGCCAGGATGTTGAATCCCCTACGTCGTCGGTTTCGAGATGATTGGTGTAAGACTGCAGTTGGAGCTGTGGCACGGGGGACTACATGCCGCGTCACAGGTTCGAGCACATCATGACGAACCTCCACTTTACAAACAACGCAGATGCCCAAGCAGTTACGGACCGAGCCTGGAAAGTCCGGTCAGCCATACAAACTTTGCAAGATACGTTTCCTCGGAATTACAAGACGCCTCCGGTGATATCTTTTGACGAAGGAATTATTTCATCCAGAAACCGCAACAATCCTACTCCCAGTATCTGAAGGCGAAGCCGCACAAGTGGGGGACCAAGATGTTCCCGACCTGTTGCGCTGATACTGCTTACTGCATGAGGAATGTAAACGTGAGCCCTCCGGGCTCACGTTTTTTTTTGCTAAGTAAAACATGTTGTATCTGACCCGATGTTGTATGTACGATGCTGGATGTGACAACATGTAGACTTGAAGTCTACTGTGGAAGTGCGCAGAATACTCACGAAATTGGCAATGTTCCGGAAAATCAACTCTCGGCTGACCCAAATACGGGTCCATCAGCGGTGATTCGAAACCTAGAGGTCGTGCTTCCTGCCGCACAAGACAATTTGTACCATCTTGTCGTGGCGGATCGCTTTTATACTTCAGTCCAGCTTGCTTTCCAGTTGCTGTCTCGCGATGTATACACCATTGGAACAATCATGGGCGACAGAGTCGGGTACCCACAAGAAATAGTGGAGCGAAGTCGTGATCGACCGAAAGGAGTGCCGCATGGCACTGTGCAAGTGGCGGTTGCCAAAATCTGCCCTCAGATGACAGGACTCGTGTGGTGGGACAGAAAACCTGTCCAGTTTTTAGGAACAGGTTTGAGCAGAGCGCTGGAAACGTGTCGTAAGTAGTTGTTGTGCTCTACGTTTTGCTAAATCTAACAACAATTTTTTTTTATGCAAACAGAGCGCCGGACGCGCGGTAGCAAAGGAAAGCGACAAGCCGTCCCATGTCCATCCACGGTTCGAGATTATCACCGCTGGATGGGCGGGGTTGATATTCACGACCAACTCCGCCTCCTGCGGTATTCTCTCCAACTACAGACATGGTGCAAAAAGTACTACAAGACGATATTCATGGGACTAATCGATGTCGCGATTGTGAATGCATATATCGTCTTCAGAGAGGCGCAGAAGAGATTCGATGCTCGACCCATTTCGCATGCTGAGTTTTTGCTGAAGCTTCACGCGAACATGCTGGATCTGGATGAACGCAGTTTTACTGACCAGGTACGTTATTCATGTTGTATGCCAGCATGTTGTATCTCATGTTGTATGTAACGTGTTATATATTAAATTGCAATTTCAGGCACCCCCAACCGACATCGACAGCGAAGCGTTCGCCCCAATGGTGGGCCACGAAGCACAAGAAAGTCCGGATTATCAAATTGTCAATGGCGTTCGTAAACGGCGTCAGCGTCAATGCAAGGTGTGCTCCTTGCTGAAGCGGCGCATTGGTGAACGGCGTGCCACAAAGTACTACTGCCCCACATGTAGCCCGTCGGAAAAGGCTCGGTAAGTTTTCAGTTGCTGTCACTATTGCGTGTACTTACTGCTATTTCTTTGCAGAACATGCCTGTGCCAAAAAGTCTGGTAGCACTTTCCTGGCAACACCATGACGTGCAGCCAAATTTGGCACTACAAATGGGAAAACGGAACCAAACGACCGGCCCCGCGAGGTGGCCGTGACATTCAAAGCAGAGCAGCTGATGGAGGCGGCGGAGTGAAGGCTGCAGGAAAGCGTAAGCGTCGGCGTCTGATGAAAGAGAGCAATAGCGAAGATGAAGAGGATGCAGAGGGTCAGATCGAAGGTGAACTGGACGAGGAAGATCTGGAAGAAGAATGAGGAGGCTTGGTAGTGTCGAATGGTTACGACTCAACACAAAAAATGAGGATTCAAACAATGTGTCAAGTGTTTATTTTGTTTATGTTGCGTCCACCAATACTTCAACTGTTCGTGGCTTGTCTCTGGATAAAAGGGCCACACGAATAGCCCGTAATTACCGATAAGATGTTGTTAGGTACAACATGCCAACCACGAT